CTCTGTGCCCATTTTCCGTCGCCGTAGAAGCGCAGTAAGGACGCCACCCCGGTGTGACGGGGGTATTACTTCAGCCTCCGTTTTAGTTGCTCAGCTCTGCAAACGCCGCACGGACGTAACCTGACGCTATATATAGTTATATACGTCAGTGTCTCTCCGAAAAACGAGAGGCGGAAGGAAGTCCCCATTAGTTCTATGAAATAGATGAAAAACTATAGTTCCGTATGAACTGGCACAACGAGAGCGACTGCAAAAACATGCCAGATCAATTAAGATCAAATCCGATGGCTCGCAAAAGCGGCTAGTACGTCCCAAGAATAGACACCCCAAAGGAGAGAGCCATCAGATGAACAGTAACCGAAAATGCAAGCGGCGGATAAAGAGAACCTGCGGCGGCAATATACAATAGCCGCCGAACTGAAAGAGATGGGGACCGTAATGGAGTGAAGCACTCGTTTTGGATCAACTTTCGCCATACTGAATTCGCATGGGCGACAGCTGCGCCACCTCTCAGGGGAAAAAAACGAAGAATTGCAAATACAACTATCTACTATTTACTATCAATTAATCCAAGCTTAGCCATCGGCCAGCATGTTATAGTCTCTACGTATATCTACGTATATCTGCGCTAAATATACGCGTTGTGAGAGTCATCCCCTGCGACTCTAATGTTAATATAGGCAAGCACGAACGCGTAACCTAAGAGTTGCCAGATTGTATGTTGGATGACGCATGCAATCTATATATGGAGGACGGGACATTTCACACGTAATCCGAGTAATTCCAAATCATCCTTCCACTCACCGTTCTTCAGCGCTTGTCTGATCAGACGAAGAGACTTCACCGACACCGTATCTCTGTAGGTTTCATATAGATCTTTCCCTAAAAGAAAAGAAGAAATCACATCAGATCCAACTCTAGCGAGCAGTTCGGCTAACAAGCCCCCATTGCTATTGGCCCCCATTGGATGCTATCCAAACATCTAACAGTCACGCCTGACGGGCAGGCGCTCTTCGAATGTAGACTTTACGAAAACGCGGTAAAACAGACGAAGGGTTGGTCGCTTCCTAAAACATGCTCGTACGTTGTTGAAACTAGTAGGCGTCATAATTATGTACATGATCATTACGACTCATTACGGGCAATCCGCTGAGGTATTATAGGTGGCTTATACTCGACGTGCACGACCTCCAACGTTCAATTACAAAACCAATCTCTTACGATGAAATATTATTATTAAATATTAAAATCTGCACGAATAAAAAAAAGTATATAAATCGCAACAACTATCGTCACAATAATGATCAATTATCGATCAATAATCGATTATGATCAATAATCATTATTATATACACCACACACACCACACACACACGCACGCACGCACGCACGCACGCACGCACGCACACACACATATATATATATATATATATATATATCAGGCTTTCAAGCAGACCCAGGGAAAAATTTGGAGAAAAGTAGGATCAAAATTTGCAAAAAAAACAGGACAAAAGTAGGATTTTGCTGTAAAAATTAGGATAAAAGTAGGACTTATGCGGGCTTTCAGGTGTAGTTTTTACTCATACTTACCAATAGAATTCTCATGTAAAGTTGTGGTGTGCGCCAAAGAGGTACGTATACTACCTGGGATCTGCAATGACTACTCACTACTCCTGCGCCCAAGCCCTTCTCTTTGTGATTTACATATGCCAGAGTGCAACATCGTCATCAAGAATATTGAATTCATTTTACGGTGTTTTGGGACAAAATATTAGGAAAAAACTAAGAAAAAGTAGGAATTTCAGGGAAAAATTAGCAAAAGTAGGAGCAAAGACAAAAAAGTAGGAAAAAGCAGGAAAAGTAGGAATACTTGAAAGACTGATAAATATATATATACACGCACACGCACACACACGCATATATATATATAAATTATATATATATATATATATATATATATATATATATATATATATATTCAAGCATATGTAGCGACCAATATTAGACTCAAGGGTATATACTAACTATATAACTATTGAACGTATTTTAGTAATACTGGACGCGATAACGGCAGCGTACGCGAGCGCGCTCTCTACTTTCGCTCTTCGCCTTTGCGTTATTCGTATACCTTTGGCTACTCTCCTACCTTTTCCCCTTACACCTGTGTAGTGTCACGCTACACGCTACACATATACGTATGCTACGCCAGGCGTTGCATTTCTTGAAACGTGCTACATCGCAAAAAGATGTGATATCGCTTGAACACAGCATGAGACGTACACCACACACGGATTTACGCGAGAACAGAATTCTAACGATTCCCAAGACACGACTACAGTATACGACCATACATGTGATACCTATAGCAATTTTTCTGGTATGTTCTGTAGCTCAATTTGATGCTAAAAACGTCGATATTCACACAGCTTTTTAATATACGTTCCTGCACGTCTGTCCGAAACATAAAAAAACCATAATACATAGAGTACACGATACATTAGGTTCAAGTTTTCAGAAAAAAATGCATGCTCTGACTTGTATTTCATTCTGACATTTCACTGTGTTTGATGATACAAACAGCGTCACTTCTTTTGGATTAATAATAGCCGACAAAAAAACGAGTGCGAAAAAAGTACGAACGAGGATGGTTTACAGATCGAGGATTGCTAGAGGAAGAGAGACATGGAGAAGAGAATAGGAAAATTTCCATACTACCGATTGTAACGAACCGCTTTCCTTGTGATCTTATTAAGTTGCTATAGAGATACTACACACTATATACAATTCTATTATATATGCATTGTGACACTGAGGGTTAGGGTTATTAGAGGTTACTACTCGTTACTTAGAAACCGAACCCATTATAATAATTAGGCAACACAACGACGTTACCTCATAGACTCACATGACAAATGAGACGTGAAAACGACGCAGGAATACAGCAAACCTTGCGCACCAAGCTACTCCAACCGATATCTGCATTCCATCTCAGAGTTCTGCCAAGACAGAGGCCCATCTACCCAAGGTAATGCGGGAACACCGCGAGAACGTGTTCGTCCGCGTCCATCACCTGCGCGGCTGTAGAATGTGTCGCAGACCAACACGAGCGCACGTGAAGCACTAGAGAAGGCGCCGCTTTCCAGCAGCAGCGCTAATTACCTGACAGATCCTGACCCGTGCTAGCATCCAGCTCGTGCATTAGGTGGAGAAAAAAAAACTAAAAAAAATCACTCGAAAATCCGAGTGATATAGGCATCAGCAGCGGCTGGTATACACTGAGTGAGAAGAAGAATGAGAATCCATGCCGTGTTAGTTCCAGCCGTGTTGGCACGCACGCAAGCAAGCACGCCGCACTGTTATCGCGCTCGCAGTAGGCAAGTGTCCCATGTCGCGTACCGCGGGTACCGCCATACACCAGCTAGTACTCGCAAGCCCTCTCCCTCCCGGTTATCTCCCTCCCCCACCGCGAGACGCCTTGCTCCTTCGCGAAATCCCAGCTTGTGAGATTTGACGGCACTGTCGGCTGGTACGATACGCTGCGAAGCTTAGCACACACCTGTCCCTAGTTATCACTGTTCATACATGGACTATGCTCTACTCTACTGGACAATTTCTACATGGACTATCTCTACATGGACTATCTCTACATGGACTATCTCTACATAGACTATCTCTACATGGACTATCTCTACTAGATTTACCAATGTCATTGAAACTCCATCCAGGAACGGCTAGACAGATACTAACGTGGGACAGTTTCGCGTCTGCGGGTTACTACACAGACATAACGGAGGACGAAATCATTCGCAACTGGGTAGACAAATTCCAATTGCTGCGCTGCATGTCCACCACACTAAAGTGATGTGAATTCAGGGTTTTGAAATATGTGAACTGATATGTCTTACTTTCAAATTTGATCCAATTTTACATTATTAATATTTAAGCCAGTTGTAACGTCAGCAGAATCGATGACACAACCTTCACGCAAGAACTGATATTCTACCAGGTCAACGAAAGTGGACCACATGAAAAAAATTGCGCAAGCATACAGCGACCGTTGAAGGTTTAGCTCGTTCTGATCAAGAGATGTACAAACATTGACACGATATGTATATAATATGATGTCACTGACCCTGATGTACTATATACGAGAGACGCAAGCATGATAGGAGCTCAATCAGAAATGAGTGCATGTATTCCTCGGAATATTGTACCATGTTCTCACACATGCACGCACGCACGCACGCACGCACGCACGCACGCACGCAACAGCAACAGCAGCAGCGGCAGCAGAAAGGACGCTATGCGTCAGCCCACAGCTGCCGACATCCCTGCTTCTCGCAACACATGATCAACCCATCTCAGTAGTACCACCACCTGCCGCAGATCTGGTGGCTTCATGCAGGGCTGCGCAGAAACTTGTGCGTGTGGGGGGTATAGTTGTCGGTTAGCAACACACACACTCGTGGAGGTGGTTGTAGGTTAGTAACACGGAAATTTGCGAGTGTGGATGCGGGTTAGCAGCAATAATTCTTGCTGGGGAGGATGCGGGTGTGCTGCATTGAAACCTGTGATGGTAGTAGCTGACTGGCGACAGTGAAACCCGAGGAGGTGGGCTAAAACATTGAGCGCGCAGCCATTAGGGACGCGAGATGAATTCTATGGAGTCCCATAAGCTGCTAGCGCCATTTTATAACAGAATGCTACAGATCAGGTAGAGCCAGCTTTTCATCAGCTCTCACGCTCGATACATATTCGCTAAACGGGAATGAAGCCCGAATCACAATCACGCGCAGAAGACAGGACCTAGATTCACCTAATTATTGGTGCGTGCGCTACCTTTCAACATAAGAATATATGGAGTAATATATGAATGCGACATAAGGGAGAGACAACATTTGCACATCATTGCAATTAATCATATACATAATACACTGTTGGAAATCTTACAAATTCGAGACATAAAAAACACTTCGAAAACGGCGTATACTCAAATAATACCTCCCTCTTCTCTAATAATTAAAAACATTAACTAAAAATGTCGATTTCGGAATAGACGCTGCAACGTTAACGGATCTAGTCAATTCAGCAGCGTGACCTCCTGGAACAAAACAAACGTGTTTTTCGGTTGGCCACAGCACGTCGCATCGAGACAGACAGCCCTGATGCGACTATATATACTATTTCATATCTGCGCTCTGGCGACGGTCTTTGTGTCGCAGGTCGTCGACGTGTGACCCGACAGGTTGGCAATCAATTATGAACGACGGAGCGCCCGCTGGAACCCGGCAGCTTACGCACGCACGCACGCGCGTGCGCGCACACAGACGCACGCACGCACACGCAGACAAGAAAGCGCAAGCTGTCATTGGCTTCCCGTGATGCTTGGTTTCGCGCAACAGAAATAGCAGCAGCGGCAGGCCTGTTGCTGGGGAGCGGAGGCGGCGCGAGCGCGCATGCGCACTAGCAACCTCGATCGCTGAGCGTGAAGCCACTAACGACATCAGCCGAGCATTCAATAAAACGCACGTAGGCGGGCGGCTTGCTGCTTACTGCTCCATCGCAGCAAAAAAGCAATTTCTTGAAATGGGGACGCGGTTAGTGATGGACTCAGACTTTCCGTACTGCACACAAATGCCAAACGACAGAGCATGCATGCACAACATATATTGCGTAGAAGGGAGGGGGAGTATACGTCGACATATTTGTGGGAACACATTGTGTGCAGTTAGCTGTAATAACACGTGTTAGCGCGAAGAAGCCCGTCAGGCAGTGTGACGCAATTGAATGGTTACGTTTGAAGTTTCTAAAATAGTACGATGGCGTATTTTATATAGACAGCTTTTTGTGCGCGGACTGCATCGAAATAGAGAGTTGGTATT